TGGTTCTGTTTTGATTCCCATATCCTTCTTTATGCTGTTGAAGTTCTCACTAAGTCCTTGAGCATCCTTATAACTATTGATTTGAACTCTGTTAGTTTGATTGCCACCATTTCATTGAATTATTTTTCTTGTTTTTTCACACTTGGAACCTGTTTGTCTCCTCATTTTGGAAGCCTCCATGTGTTTGTTTCTATGTATTAGTTAGAGCTGTTATGTCTCCCAGGCTTGGTAGAATGGCTGTATGTAGTAGGTGTTCTGTAAGATCCAGTTGCATAACCTCCTTGATCACCCAAGCTGGGCTCTCCACCCCCCTCGTGGGCTGTGTACACCCTCCTGTTGTAGTTGAGCCTTGATTGCTGTTGGCATGTCAATGGGAGGATTTACTCCCCAGGCTGGTCAGCTGCAAGGACTGGCTGTTACCACCAACCACTGTAGAGGATCAGCTGTGCAGGAGACCACCCCACAGAGCAGGACTTACTTCAGCAGGGCTCTGGTGCCCACTGAGTCTGCTCCTTGAGTGTGTCATGGTGGAAGTGGTTGGGTGGTGATGCTTCAACGTGGTCTGAAGCTGTCCACTGGGTGCCCTGGCTGTGGGGCTTCCCAGGAGGTGTAGGCCAAGGTCAGCTGCTGCCTGTGTTCTGCCCAGAGCCTCCCAGCATGAGCTACAAAGAGATCTGCAGATGCTACTGGGCTTGGAGGTGCCCAGGAGGCCACACTGTGAACCAGTCAGCTGCTGCTAGTGCCAGTCCTGGGGCCACTCAGTAGGAGGTCCGGGGCACACTGCAGCCAAATTCAGCTTATTTGAGATTGTAGGAACATCTGAAGCATAAGGCAAGAGAAGTCATTGTGTGGAAAAACACCGGAAACAGTGTGAGTGGACCTAAAAGTTGGGTAGGGCAGGGTCTCGGGGAATCACCAGGGCAGGGCTAAGAGCCTCAGCCAGGCTCATGGAGACTCAGATATGGTGCCCACCAGCCAGCTCCTGGGGGAGGCGCTCAGAAAAGGAACGACAGCTCTGCCAGCGCTTCCATCTGGGAGCAAGCGGCCCCCCGGCTCTCACCCTGATGCCCCTGTATCCCTGGAGCCTTTCAAGCTGCTGCCCCAGCCCTGGAGCCCAGAAGGAGTGAGTCCGAGTAAGTCCATGCACGGGCCCCTTACGAGGAACGCCCGAGACTCCAGCAGCCTCCGTCTCCCTCAGCCTCAATTCCTGCTGGTTTTTACAGCCAGGAGTTCTGGGACTTCTCTTCCTGGCACTGGAACCCTGGGCTGGGAGGCCTGGTGTGGGGCTGGGACCCCTTGCTCCACAGGGGAGACCTCTGAGCTGAGATATCCAGGCACACACGAGTGTGGGACCAGCCAGTTCCTTGTCTCTGCCCTTCCTACCGTATCAATGTGGCTTCTTTGAATCCTTAGTTATAGGAGTTCTATTCAGCTAGATTTCAGGTGGTTCTAAATGATGGTTGTTCTGTAGTTTAGCCGTAGTTTTGATGTGGTTGAGGGAGGATATGAGTACCACATTTACCTATGCTGTCATCTTGACCAGATATAATAATTTTTTATTATACCACTTCTTACTATTATAACTCTTTTGGGCTCCTTTAGGTGTTTTATCTTATTAACAAATAGTTTCCAATACGCTAAACTATTAACAGTATACTCAGCTCTTCTAAATTAAATTTTTATTCTATTAAAAAAAGGGGAAAAATGACTTTAATTGGAATTTGTGACAGAGAAGATTTGAATAATTACTGTATTACTGTATTGATTATGTTTCAAGATGAATGCATACAAATAATTATATGAGAAATATCTGACTACAAAGTGTGGAAGCCAAAGAATAAAGAATAAACGTAAAAACTAGCATCCCTTGAGAGTTTAAAGGGGAAGAGTTACATGACTATTAAAAAAGAAGATATACAGATCTCTCATATCTTTACTTGGCCTCTTTTTATAATCCTTTTAAATTATTTACAGTCCTTTAAATAGGAACGAAGATACAGGTGGTCTTCCCATTAAGCACAAGGTGAGTGCCAACAGCACTGCGGATACTGTAACATATTTAGATGCCCTCGGGAAGCTCAGCATTCAGAATAAGGCTTCAGAGAGTGTGGTGACAAATACTTTAATAATGTAAACAGTCAACCCTAACCTGAAGACATAACCAGGGCGGATCTTTCCAGGGCCAGGCGGGGGCCGGTGAACTGGGAAACCATAGGCCCTTAGGGGTAAAAATCATCCCCACAAGATGGTGGGCACCTCTTGTTCTGCCCAGACAGAATATTCCTCCAGGCGGAAGGAGGGCTTAGAGTTAGTGAGCCTAACTAGTTGCCTCCCCAGGAAAGAAAAGCAAGGGCCGAAATCCGAAACTGGGACTATGATTTTCAGCATCCATGAGCGGTACCAAGCAGAGGCCCATTTAATAATAAAAGCTTTGTTGTAAGTTCAGTAATTTCCCCTCATTTGTTATTGTGTAGGTTGTCCTCTGTCTACAGTCTGTGAATGGGGGTGACTGGACAGTACACATCTCAGATTTTCAAGAACTATCAGAGACTACACATTTTTCACTTTGCTCAAGAGTGTTTTGTGTAGTAACAATGAGAGTCTCTGATGGCAAAGAAGAGAGGGGGCTGAGGAGACCCCAGTCCATACTTCAGCCAGTTCTGGGGCCCCCAAGAGTTGGTGAGAAACCACCAGGAGTAGGAAGGGAGGCCCCTGGGGTTACTGCCAGGGCCCAGGGCGGTTTCCAGACATAAACTTATCTTGGTTTCTTCATTATAACTTTTTCCCCTTAAAGCAGAAGCACATATAGACACACAGACACATAAAGAAGTTGTTTTGAGAAGGTCCAGCCACCTTTATCCTTGACTGCTTTCCCTCCCAGGCAGCTACCACTCGGCTCACTATGGCCACGCTGGTCATTTCCAAGTCCTCTGGGAAGAACACAGCTCGCTACAATACAATTTCATCAAGTGGCCTGATTTGCACATGTCTGTTTGACAGAACATTTTATGTAGGAAAAACATAGTTTTAGCACAGCTACAAGCCTTCCGTATAAAGTCATTTAAAATTTTCACAGTCATTTAAAATTTCATTTTTTCCTTCACATTCTAGTATCTTAAGATGGGCTTAAAGGAGTTTGAAAAGAAAGACTGTCAAATGGTAGACATTGTCAGAAGCTGTACTTATTAGCAAGGCGTGTCTCAGTTGAGAGCTGCAAGCCTGCAGTCCTACATGATTTAAAACCACTTAGAGTAGCGTTCACAGGACAGAGACACCTAGTGGTAACGACAGACAAAACACTCTCTAAGCCAGGGGTGGGGATCGTCTGGCCAGGATAAGGCCCACGAAATCATTTGGTCTGGCCCTGCCAAGGCATCAGGGGTGAATTACTTACATGTTTGACCAACTATAGCAGGCTAATTTTTAATTTGATAATTCTGTATGGCCCGAGAGTGATGTTATAAATATCCAAACGACCCTTGGCAGAAAAAAGGTTCCCCACCCCTGCCAAGTGAAAAAACTATGCTCTCAGATTCTCTCTCTTAAGCAACCAGGCAGCAGCTCTTAGTGGCTTGAGAAAAAGGGAGTAATTTTCACCCAGTATTTGCCTTGTCCCAATGAGGTGGGCAAGGCCACGTGCGGCAGCCCACAGGGCACGTGCCACCTCTGGTGCAGTAACACACACTGTCGCTTAAACTCGGGACTCCTATTTGCACAGATACCATATTCCCTTGTTGGAAAGTCCTTTACTTACTGCCAACACTTAAGTTTCTTGCATCTATTTAAAACTCATTACATTGTATTCTTCTACTCGCCCCAAATAAAACCTTCCCCCTTTCAAGATAGGTGTAATTCATTGTGTTGGGACTTCTAAGTACACATTGGCGGCGAGGTCAGTAAGTGAAGCGAGTCTCTGACAGTCGAGTAAAAGGGAGCACATCCTTAGAGTCACAAGGTAAAACATATCAAGTGCTATTATGTACAAATACCTGAACTACACACTCCGCAGTTAAAAAGATTTGTGAAACCCAGTCTCTGCCCCCGAGAATCATACACATGAGGAGGGGAGGCAAGTACACGGACAGCAAAGGGAAGATGGATAGATCTTACAAAAGGGCACCCAGTGCTATGATGTGAGAGAGAAAGACAGCTTTTGGTTCACTCGGTTAGGGGAGGGGTGCTGGAGAGGTGAATTGGGAGTGGGGGGTGGGCAGAATACCGCCAGCACAGTGTGGTTCAGGTGAAGGGTGGGGTGTCCCACTGGGGTGCAGTTGGAGATGAGGTGGGAAGGTCAGGCTTCAAGCCGGTGGGACTGTGAAAGCAGAATATGTTATTTTGGTATGCAGTGGGTACCCTCTAGGTTTCCAATCAGAGCAAGTGGATTTCTGATTAAAGGCACACTACACTGAAAGCAATGTTCAGGAATATTAAGCGGACACTAACGTGGAGATGATTAGCAAATGGAAGTGAGGGGAAGGGCAGGACTACTATGAAAGGTATTTTGAAGAAAACCTGATTGGGAACTAAGATTTTAATTATGGGTTTCTCAAAGATAAAAAATGGGGAAACCCAGAGGGACCTCAGGCAAGGCTTAATTGAGTTTTAGATATGCTAAATGACATAAAAGGAGGAAATACAGTTGTAATTGCCTGACAGACAGCCTGGGGCCTTGGGAAATAAAGATCAAGGTCAGAGCTGGAAACTGGTTTCGGGCAGAGGTGAGATCCAGGAGACCCGCGAGCACCCCAGAGAACTGCACACAGAAAGGAAGGAAGAGCCCCAAACCCTCCTCCCCCCTCACAGAGGGCAGGAGAGCATGGGCTCAGAGCGACCTAATGCAGAGAAGACTGAGGAAGATGACAGCAGCAAGTGCTGACAGGACAAGGACCACAGAGACAGGAGAGCAGAGGAGCTGAGGAAGAGGTGACCTTGGAGGGATGATTTCAGAAGCCACAGGGCCCGCGGATAGGAAGCGTGTGGGCTGAGGCCCGTACAAGAGGCCGTAGATCACCCTGGAGCACTCCCGTAGCCAAACAGAGGAGAGCAGCACCGGAACGCAGGCAGACAGCGTGTAAGGAAGCACTGACCCTTCATACACTGGGGGGCTTAAAAGTATACAATCCCAAGTGCAGAATAAAAACTAGGGGATGGGATCTGGGGGCGTGAGGTCGGGAGGAAGAGCCTTTTCCTTAAACACTGAGGGGCCCTCTTCTCCAAGACAGAAGAGATGGGATGAAAAACAAACACAAGTAAACATACTGAGCTTGAGACATTTTAAAAGAGAAAAGGAGAAAATTGGGGGAGTGAATGCCATCAAGCTTCTCATTAGAGAAGGAGTCGAGGATAAATCCTGGAAGCCCGGAGCTGAGGCCGGATTAGGGGGAGGAGGAGATTAATGAGGTCAGGAGCAGCCGGCTTCCTAATGGGCCTGAGCTGGGATCTGGACCGCGCAGGTGACACTGGCGAGGGCCCCTGGAGGGGCTGCTTGGGGCGCAAAGGCCCATGATTCCCAAGTGCTACTGGAAGGATGGGATTAGAAGAAACGGGCTTAGAAAGTAAGTGGTAACTGAGAAGGGTGAGGGGGGGAGTGAGGTCAGGAGGGAACTGGGAGCCCAGGAGCCCAGGGACGGGGAGCGAGACCCGTGCTCCTGCTGAGGGCAAAGAGCAGGTCCAGCGGGACAGAGGGCCACGAAGTTCAGTCTGCAGTCATTCGATTATCACAACCACGTTAGTTACCTGGTCTGATGGACAAACAACATCTTAAAGTAATTGGAGAATGAAGCAAGAACTGATTTGTGTGCCTTGAAGTACACATCGCCGATGGCAACCGTGCAGTCACACAGGAAACCAAACTCTCGCTGAGCGTTTAACTGTTGCAGGAGAATAAGTCCATGGTTGGCCAAATCCATTTTTTTAAAAATCTGCAAAGCAAACAATTTTTTTTTAAGAAAGATGATTCATAAACAAGTATGTGTCCTTACAGTCACCAATAGCAATGATCACAGGTAACATGCCAGGCACTGCTGAAAACGTTCCCTAAGTCCACTCATTGAGTCTCCCGGCGGCCCTTGGAGTAGCTGTCATAACTCCCATTCACAGAGGACGGCACCGTTGGGGACTCAGGGATTGCGGGGTCAGCCCAAATTTACAAAGGCAGTTTAAGAGGAGGAGCCAGGAAATTGAGTCTGCCCTCCGGACAGCAAGCATTCCCAGGTCATTTAGTCTTTTAGTTTAGGATTCCAAATGCAAATGTTAATGATCAAATCTCCTTAGAGATAAATTAAGGTGCTGGGTGGGGCCACAGCAGGGCGGGGTGAAGATCGCACTAAGTTTGGGCAGTTTTCCAGCCGCGGGAGGGAGTAAGGAAGCGGAGTGGGTGCTCACCCTTCTTTTTGTGGAGAAGGAAATGGGCTTCGAGGTGTAACATCGCCCAGGCCATGGAGCTAGAAGGTAGGAGAGCCGATATTTAAATCTGAGTGTTCTGACTCCAGATTCTAAGATCTTCATTTCTCACAGAGCACCCTAGCAAGGAATCCATGTACAGCAGAACGGACTCTAGAGGAGCTGGTTCAGCAAAGCTGTGGCCGGCTCCTCCTCACAGTCAAACAGCATTTATAAAAGCATTTATAACGACACATAGATCAGCATTATGTTTAACAGAATACCTAATGCTACAAGAGTCATTCTCTGATCGGACCAGGGAAAGGATGTCGGCTCTCACTATTCAACATAGTCCTGGACGTTCTGGAGAGTGCAATAAAGCAGGAAAGGAACGAAAAGGCATTCACACAGGAAAAGAAAAACAAAACTGTCTCTATTTGCAGGTGACATGGTTGTTACTTAAAAAATCCCAAGGAATGTACCCAAAACTCCTAGAACTAATAACTGAGTTTGGCAATGCCACAGGATGCCATCAAATAGACATATGAAAATCAACTAATTCTATATGCTAACTTTGAACTTGTGGACCCTGAAATTAGAAATATTCCATTTACAATCACTGAAAAAAAAAAGAAAGAAATACAACACATAAATCTAAAACATAAGTCTTGTTTGTTAAAAACTACACAATGCTCATGAAAGAAATAAAAGATCTAAATAAATGGAGAGACATACTGTAGTTACAGTTAGGTAGACTCAACATAGTAAAAATATCAGTTTTTTCCCAAACTGATCTATAGATTTGATACAAATTTTATTTTAAAAATATATTTTTATTGATTTCTGAGAGGAAGGGAAAGGGAGAGAGAGCTAGAAACATAAACGATGAGAGAGAATCATTGATCAGCTGCCTCCTGCACGCCATGCACCCTTGACCAGAATGGAACCAGGGACCCTTCAGTCCGAAGGCCGATGCTCTATCCACTTAGCCAAACCCTCTATCCACTTGGCCAAACCAGCTAGGGCTTGATACAATTTTATCAAAATCCTTGTAAGATTTTTTTTGAAGATTGATTGGTTTTATTAAGGGATTCATGATTAAGCAGCACCTCCATCCAGCAATTAGATACTGTCCAAGTAGGAATTTTTTGAAGACATAGACAGTAATCTAAAATGCATAGGTAAAGGCAAAGGAACTAGTATAGCTACAACAATTCCTTAAAAAGAGTAATAAAGTGGGAGTGTTGTGAGCAGCAGGAACGGCACCAGGTGTCTGACCCTTGTGTTCAGCAACCTTGGGACTTGGGTTCTGGCTAGGAAAAAATTCAGAGCCAAGACCCAACTGTAAGAGAACACTTATTTGGTAAATTACAGAGTTAGAAGTAATTCCTAGAAGATATGGGCTTAGAAAATAAGTTGTAGAGGTAAAAGAAGGGCCCTTGGAACTTGGGAGTGAGGAAGCTAACAGTAATGTGCCTGTGGCAGGGAGGGAGAGAGGGGAAGGGGAGGGGGGAGAGAGAGAGGAAGGGAAGCACACTGGGCCCTCTTCATAAGGTTTAAGGGTGGAGATGTTAGGGGAGGTCCCAAGGGAAGATCTTAATAGAATATTCAGCAGCTTTCCAGGTGTGTCCTTTCAGGGTGTGGTCACTGACTGATTGGCCGGCACCAGGGCAGGGGGTCATTTTCCAGTGCAGCTGGTCCTGAGGCTGGTTTTGTTGCTTAATGGGCCTGCAGCTGAAATTCAACTTGAGGCATAGATGTTATCTCTAGGTAGGAAAGGTCAGGGGGTCCAAACTGCATGACCAGTGATATGCTAGGGGAGAAAAGTCACCCAACAGTTGATTGTCCGTTGCTAGGCACCTTGGGGCTTTCCACCCTGGTGACCTTCTGTACCTGGCCCATCATCCTTGCTCTGCTCATGATTCCACAGGAGCAATCAGTGTATTTCATTTCAAGATGTATTATATAAGCTACAGTACTCAAGACTGTGTGGTATTGGTGGAGGGATAAACACAAATCAGTGGATCAAAAAAGAGAACTCAGAAGTAGACCCACACAAAGATGCACAATTGATTGTTTATAAAGGCACAAAAAATTCCATGGAGGAAGAATGGAAGAATAATCTTTTCAACAAATGGTTCTGAATCAGCTGGACTTCCATAGGCAAAAGGGGGAGGTGGGAGAGAAGGAAGCTTGACCTAAGACTAATCTTAAATAAAAATTAACTCAAAGTGGCGTGACTGGTGTGGATCGGCTTTTGGGCATTGACCCAGGAACTAAGAGGTCACTGGTCAGGGCACATACCCAGTTTTCGGGCTAGATCCCCTGTGGGGGGCCCTGCAGGAGGCAGCTGATCAATATTTCTCATTTATGTTTCTCTGTATCCCTTTCCCTTCCTCTCTTTAAAAAAATCAATAAAAACATATTTAAGAAGCCCTAGCCAGTTTGGCTCAGTAGATAGAGCGTCAGCCTGTGGACCAAAGGGTCCCAGGTTTAATTCTGGTCAAGGGCACATACCTGGGTTGCAGGCTCGGTCCCCAGTGGGAGGCATGCAGGAGGCAGTCCATGAATGATTGAATGATTCTCTCTCATCATTGATGTTTCTCTCTCTCTCTCCCTTCCTCTCTGAAACCAATAAAAATATATTTAAAAATTAAAAAGGAATTAAAAAACATATTAAAAATATTTTAACTCAAAGTGGATCACAGACTCAAATTTAAGACAGCAAAGTATAGCTTTTGGAAAGAAAAAAGGGATAAAATCTTAGAGATCTATGGTTAGATACAGGATTTTTATACATGTCATCAAAAGTACAATCCATAAAAGGAGAAATTGATAAATTAGACTTTATTAAAATTAAAAACTTTCATTCTGAGAAAATCCCTGTTAAGAAAATTAAAAACAAACAAACAAAACAAAGCTAAAGACCAGTAAGAAAAATTTGAAAACCTTTGCAAACTAGCCCTTTGATAAAGAACTAGTCTCAAAATATATAAAAATTCTTAAAACTCAACAGTAAAAAACCAATTGAGTTAGAAAGTGGGCAATAGATTTTAAGAGATCTTACACCAAAGAGGATGTACAGAAGGCAAATAAACATAAGAAAAGATGTTAAACACATTAGCAATTCGGAAAGCAAGTTAAAACCACATGAGACTTCACTACATACCTATCAGGATGGCCAAGACACAAAACAATGATAGCACTAAGTGCTGGCAAGGATGCTGAGAAACTGGATTGCTCAAACCCTGCTGGTGGGAATGTAAAGCCCTGTAGCCACTCCGGAGGGCAGTTAGCAGTTGCTTAAAAAACTAAATTTGTAAACACCATACTACCCAGCAGTTACGCTCATGGACATTTATTCCAGAGAAGTGAAGACCTGGCGCTCACAAAAAAACCTGCACATGGATACACACAGCAGCTTTATGCTCATAGTCAAAAACCAGGAACAGTTCAGATGTCCTTTGATGGGTGAATAAAGTGTGGTATGCCCATACAACAAAAACTATTCAGCCATAAGGAGAAATGAACTACAGATACACGCAATGATGAGTGGAAAAGCCAATCCCAATAGGTTATATACTGAACAATTCCACTTAAATAACATTCTTGAAAATGACAGTAATGAAGAACAGAGTGGCAGCGGAGGGGTGAGGGGAGCAGGAGGGAAATGGGTTCTGCTCTAGAAGGGCAACAGGAGGGATCCCCATGGCGATAGAAATGCCGTGTAGCTCAGCTGTGTCAATGTCAACATCCTGGCTGTGATATCATACTACAGTTTTGCAAGATGTTTCCATTAGTGGAAAAAAAGGTAAAGGGCATATAAGGTTCCACTCTCATTTCTTGCAATTGGATATGAATCTATAGTTATCTCAAAATAAAGAATTTAATTTATAAAAAAGCCCAACACATAAAAATTAATTAGCCAGATTTAAAAAAATAGATAACTTCAGAATTATGGAAGCTACTGTGGAGAATGCATTACCAAAAAACTTTTAAAAAAACTTAAAAAATTTTTTTAAAGGGAGAGGGAGAAAGATAGTAACACCAATGATGAGAGAGAATCATTGATTGGCTGCCTGCCTTCTGCATGCCCCACCCACACTGGGAATCGAGCCCCCAACCTGGGCATGTGCCCTGACCGGGAATCAAACTGTGATATCCTGGTTCATAGGTTGACGCTCAACCATTGAGCAACGTGGGCTGGGCTAAAGCAAAATCTGACCCACAGCAATTCTGACTCAACAGGTGAATTCCCCACTCTCCTTCCTGTGCTAGGGATGAGCTGAGAGATTCAGAAACTACCAAGTGGGCCCTAAAATAAATGAATCAAACGAAATAATACTTTAAGAGACGGATCAGGTCACAAAGCAAGACTCCAGGATGTCGAGTTGCGTGTTTTCTACCAAGAACTGGATCCACATCGCAGTAATTTGAGCATAAGGACCTAGATTGTAGTGTCACTGAAGTGCGAACATGGATGGGAGGGTCAGGAACTTGGTTCCCCAGTGTTTTCTGTGTATGTCAGAGGAGGTGAAAGCGCTCAGATAAGGAAGGGGAGACAGGAAAGCACGGGGTTCATGATGAAGGCAGAGACGGTGCCAGGTGACAGCGCCAGGTTGCAAGGTAACCTACCTGGGTTATAAAGAACATCAGTCTACCTAATCTCCACCAGGAGATAACTAGAAGTTTGTCTTCAAGGCTGTGCTCTGAAAAGTGCCAGAACTCCTTTTCCATCTCACTAACCTACTTTTCTCTACAAAAAAAGTGTATCTTCTAAGAGCAAACTGTGATGAGCTGCTCTGTCACGTGCTCTGGCTCTAATCAAGATGATCTACGTTTAGGCAGCTTCAGGCGTCACGTCCACTGACAGTAGCTTCAAGTGCACGAACACAGTGCTGTTATCCGCTCGGTGTTATGACGAGAGTGCTATTATTTATGGAGTGTTTACTGTTAACCATTCATTTCCTTGTGCTATTCATTTAATTTCACATGAACTTATTTGAGCTTTTTGAGGAATTGCTACCCACATTATATAAATGAGTAAATAGCCATAGAGTGGTTAGGTAGCTTGATCAAGATGATAGAATCCGTAAGTGCAAATGGGTCCATTTGATGTGTCAGAGCATACAATGCAAACGTGTTTGTTTAAAATACTGAGAAATAGTCTTGTTATTGCTGCCTTTTTTTAAATATATATTTTATTGATTTTTTACAGAGAGGAAGGGAGAGAGATAGAGAGTTAGAAACATCGATGAGAGAGAAACATTGATCAGCTGCCTCCTGCACATCTCCTACTGGGGATGTGCCTGCAACCCAGGTACATGCCCTTGACCGGAATCGAACCTGGGACCTTTCAGTCCGCAGGCTGACGCTCTATCCACTGAGCCAAACCGGTTTCGGCTATTGCTGCTTTTAAGTATATGTATTTGTTATAAGAGATTCAAATATTATGGACACTTAAAATGTGGGAGCTGTCTTTCCATCCCCACCATTTCCCCAAACTCTGGTGAACACTGGGCATAACTTTTTTAAAAAAGTTGATTTTGAGAGAGAGAGAGGGAGAGAGAGACAGAGAGAGAGAGAGAGAGAGAGAGAAAGGAAGAAAGGAAGAAAGGAAG